TTTTTTTTTGGCATATTCAGTAAGATAAATTCAAATTTTAAACTTTCTTATGATGATCTGTTTCGGCTGGTGTCGTTTCGACCGTTTCACCTCAAATCTCGAAGATTTATTACAGAATGAACTTCGAAGTTTATGGTATAGTTACTTTATTTGTATACACCTCCCGTTCGAGCTCAAGCACTATGCTAGTAGGATCGTGAGCTTCACGAGCCACTCGTTTATAACTTTACCTTTTTTTGTCATAAAATTACCGTAAAAAACGGAAGAAGAAAAAAAGTCAAGATTCTTGAATAGTTAAAAGCAAAAGCTTGAGTTGATTCGAGTCATTTGCAGTCCTACTCAGAAGTATTTCTTTAAAACAATTTCCAGAGATTTGTGCCGTCAGATTTTGGTGTGGAAGAGGACAGGGTGGCTGCATTGCCGCCCTTCCAAACGGTGCTCGAGAAGAAGAAGAAAATCCGAAGAGCCATTGAAGCTGCAAATATACCTTATACTTTTGTGGCTGCAAATTGCTGTGGTGCTTACTTTGTAAACTATTTACTACGCCCTTCTGAGCAAAAGGAAGAAATCACTGTTTATGGCAGTGGGGAAGTTAAGGGTACAAAATATTCCAATCAAGATTCATTATTGCAGTTTGATATTCCTTAATCTCAATATATTTGTTCTGCATGATATAAGCTGTCTTGAACTATGAGGAAGATGTTGGCACTTTAACGATAAAAGTGGCGACCGATCCAAGAACGTGCAATTGTGTCGTCATTTACCGGCCCATGGCCAATATCATATCACAGCTTGAGCTGATTGCTTTGTGGGAGAAGAAAACCGGGCGAATTTTCAAGCGAGTTCATGTCTCGGAGGATGAAATGGTGTCCCTTTCCCAAAGTAAGAAATCCTGTCGTCACATTTTTGTTATGTATCCTAAAATTGCATGTTCTCTACACCAAAAAATAAGATTCTTGACTTCGAGATGGAAATTTTTCTCGTGTCGAACGATGAAATGGACGACGTAAAGCCTACTTTTGGGTGCTTTTTCCGTAACGAGGCAAAAATTTGGCGGTGGTTTTTTCATGTTTTACTCGAACTGACTCGGATCATATGATGTGAATATAATGCAGCTCTACCAGACCCTAAAAACATACCAATCTGTGTCTTTCACAGCATCTTTGTGAAGGGAGCAACCACAAATTTCGAGCTTGGGGAGAACGAAATCGAGGCCTCGGCTTTGTATCCGCACTTGAAACTTACCACGATTGACAAGCTTCTCGACATTTTCCTATCCAATCCACCAAAGCCGGCTTACACGCCATTCAAATGAATTGGTTGGGTGATTACCAGAAGTACTGTTTTGGTTTAAACAGTAGCGTTACATCATGTTTTGGATTACGAATTATGACATTCCGGTGTGAAAATATGCTTCGTTTGTTTGAAAAAAGAATGTTTGGTTAACGATTAACCGATTGATAGATAATGTAGCCAATTGAAGGTGGCACAATCAACAATTCACTGGTTTGACTTCTAATTCAACAATTCATATGACTTTTATCATTAGATCAACACATACTTATATGCACGGTGTATCTTATTGACAGTAACTTCATATGCACAAATAGTTCTACCACAGGAACATGATAAAAACCTGAGTACTGCTGGCAATATCCAAAAATACCCGGCTTTGGTGTAATTAGGAGAAAACTGAAGGTGGTTATTGTAATTAGATTGTCTGATATATTGCACAGCTCAACCGGATACTCGCAGCATATGAATCTCCTTCTTTCATGCTGACTTTGTCAAAGTCGTGACAGCAAACTTTGATCATTTTCCTCTCCAACCCACCAAAGCCAGCTTCTGCAGCATTCTAATAAATTATCAGGAGTCCCAGCTAACATTCAAATTACATAGATAACCAGAGTTTCGATACCGTGTCGAAAATAACGGGACAAACTTTAATTAGATATAAACCCTCATGATTACGTTAATTGTAGATATAGAAAGTTTGCAAGATCTTTTCTGAAATTCGGTCGATCATCGAGCATACTATTTGTATTAGACGTAAATTATCCAGAAAGATGGTGTCAATGCATTTCAAGCTTCAACTGTTGTATCAAACAAATCTATTCACAATATTAAGAATTTCAAAGCCAATATTATCCGACATTAGTCGTGCATGTTACTACATAAGAAACACCGTATCCCATGTTACAACTAACTTGAAATATTAACTTGGAAAACAGAGTTAAAAAAAAATAAAATAAAATAAATAAATCAAATGATCAAATACCCAAAACCGCTTAAGAAATTACCTCTTTTTTCCTTAGTTCCTCCACGAGACAAGACCGTTCACATGAGGAAGATAGCTTCTCCATTCCCAAGTCGTCCCAATTTTCTCCATAACTCCCGATCGATGATCATAAGCATACAGAACCCCATCTTTACTCCTGAAAACAAACTTTCCATTAACTCCTCCACCACAGTAAAGGGGCACCATATACCCAACCCCTTCAGCACATATGCTATACATTTTCTCCCACCCCTCGCCATCCAAACCCCTTAAGGCCCACACATTGACCCAATGGGCCTCCTCACGCGACATGCAACAAACAACCCCGCCCATCTCAAAAATCCCATTCGAGATCCGAATGCCATCAGCAAAGAGTATCGTCCTAAACTTCTCGTCATTCAAAGTCATTGATACCAAATGCCCGTTATTACTACTGATGGGCAGGTGGTTCCAGTGCAGGGCCCCCATAGCGAAAATCGGGCTACCCAAGCTCATGCGGTAAAGAACGTTCTGTGGCCCATCAACCTCTCTCCATGACCCGTGCCTGATGTCCATGACCTCACACCCGATGAAGCCCGCCACCAAAAACAAATGGACTAATTTATAAATTTTGAGTTCTTTGCTAAAAGCCAGCCCGTATGACTCGACTCCCCCATAAGAAACTGTGCCCAACGGGATATTTTTGAGCTCCCGAGACACCGGGTTCATGAGGATTAACCCACCACCTTTCTTGGAACAGTTCTCGAGCAGGATCAGGGAATTGCAGGCCGCTTTAATTTTGCCGATGCACGTCAAATTGTACTCTCTTGTAATGCCTTTGCCGTTTTTGATTTCTAGAAACTTTATGTGGTATAATGGGGGAGCCGAGTCCAGAAGGGGCCAGTCGAGGCCCATTGACTTGGCTTCGACCGAGAAGTTGACTTTTGGTTCAGGATCGTGTGACGAGTTTGATCTGGCGATTGGAACCAAGAAAATTAACCCGGGTTCCGAACGGGTCAGGTGCAAGTTCATGAAATGGGGGCTGTTGATGACTTTGTACCATGACTTGCAAACGAATCTTGAGGTCACGATGGACTCGAGGGGGAGCCGGAGAGCGATGTTGAATAGGCAGTCTTCAGGTATATCTAGTGCCTGCTGGTCTTTAGTACTAGAAAATCCTTGTCGTCGGGATTGAAGTCGCTGTTCGACTAGCCTTAGCAAATTGTTCGGTTTTACCTCTGTTGGTCTCTTCTTCTTCATTACGAGTCTAACAGAAATTCAGAACAATTCGGTGTTTGTTAAAAAGAAAGACGAAGCAGAAAAGGGCAGAAGGCGAAAGAATCAAACAAACAGTTCCTTACATTCACATAAATTTACTACATAAGAAAAGGCTGTTCGTGCATTGATCTTCACAAAATTGCCCAGATTATGGCTACAAGATGACCGAAAAAATACAGCAAAATTCATTTAATTTCACACTTCAAGTTCCATCCCACAAACACAAACAAGGCAAAAAGTAGAATTCATCGACAAAAAATAAACAAATCATTCATCGGCGTCTCCGAATTTTTAAGACTAGTAAGTGAAGACTTCGATTTTGGAAATCAGAAAAGAAAAAAAATGAACACCCCGTAAAATTAAAAAAAAAAAAAAAAAAA